TTATGTTTGCTATTAAGTACAAAATTGTCTTAACTTTTGATTCAGGTAGCTTAAATTTCCATTAAGTGAAAAATGTAAGGAGGATTGATTTAATTACATTTTACTTATATGCCATTTAAAGTTATTTCCACTGAAGAGGTTCAGAAAAGATTTATCATTTTGATTTTTAACCTTAGACTCTAAATTTTACCATAATATTTAACTGATGGCAACATTAAAATATGTCACTGTGCAGTCTACTATAGATCTTAAGAGTCTAGCTCCTATTAAGTAAATAGGCAAAGATTGGCATAAGAAAAAAATTACACACTTTCACACTTTTCAGAAAGTTTTTAACTAGTTATATAGTAATTCTGTGCATGTTTATAATGTCAATAAATATTGGCCACCTCAACTATAGCATTTACTATGCATTTTTTTTGTAAAAATTCCTAGGTGTTTTATAATGCCCTTCTCTGTACATATCTCTCAGTTGAAAATGCCTTATAGTTCAAAGATTTCTGCTTAAAAGCTAATCCTTTGGGCTCTRTAAAATGGATCTTTTGTTTAATCAATGCAAATTGATTTTCTTATTCTATATTGACCTCTTAACCCATTGACTGTCCATGGTAATTTTGTTCTTCACCTGATAAGGTACCTGATCCATAATAAGTCAATTCTAATTAGTTTAGAAACTAGAAATTTAAGTTTGTAAGGGAAATCCAAATGAAGTCTTATATTCTTAAAATATTTTAATATAATATTGTCATCAAGTAAAAAGTACCCTATTTATCTACCTACTATCTTATATGTTACAGAAGTTTTATTTTTAATTACTTTTATATCCATTGTCTCATTTTATAAATATCAGTGACATTTAGATATTCTCATTTAGAAATTTATTTTATTTTGATTTACTTTATTTTAAAAGGCTTCAGTTAGCCAATTTCTTTCAAATGACTCTCTAAATGTATTAAATTATACCACTTATATAGGAAATAAAATTTGTGAAAATTATTTAAGCAGTTTTGTGAAACTTGCCATTGAAATAAAAATTCACAAGTACACTAAACAGTATTTTTCTTCCATAAGTAGTTTTTATAGTCATAGCATAGTCTTTAAAGGAGATTGGAATTGGAAAAGCTAAATAGTTGAAAAGTAGATGCAGCAATACTATTTATATAGGAATATATGTATATATATGTATATATATATATAGTATGTATAATATATCTCATTATACAGTATATTCTTTATAGATTCATTATACATTACACTTAATATAAAGTGTTATTGAATTTTTTTTACCCATCCTCTCCTATATAGAGTTGACTTTTAAGGCAGACATTGGTTCTATACCCCAAAGCCAGTATTATTAAAAAATACTTAAAAAGGAGGACCTTATGCATGACAGTATTATTCCTATATACAGAATTAATAGTCTTAAATAATCTAAAATTTTATCTGCCTAATCTTTTTATACATASATAGGAACAGTAGAAACTCATATTCTTTTAAGAAGAGGGGAAAACAATGTTTTTCTTTTTAAAATGCTTGTAGTGCAGTTGTCAGGGCTTTGAGTTATTGTTCTCTCTCTCCCCCCCCCCCCCCCCCCCCCCCCCCCCCCCCCCCCTCTCTCTCTTTAAATTACATTGTCCCATATGTGACAGTGCCTGGAATCTCTCTGCCAGTTTCCTTTGCTGGTTGAGGGAAAAAGGAGACTTGAGGAAAGGAACAGCCTGTTGATTACAAATAAAGACACTTTCTTGGAGAGAGAGGCCTGTCCCACTAGCCTGGGCAGGATGTGGGCAGGGCTCTTAGAGAGGTGCTGATCATTGTGAAGATCAACTCTGTGAAGACAGTATCCTCTCAGCCAGCCCTTCGAATGGACACACAAGCAATTCAATAGCCTTTTTGAGTGTTAAAACACCACAGAAAAACATGAATAGTCAATAATAGTTGGTTTTGTTTCACTTTTCTTTGTTTTAAAGTTCATTTCTCTCTTCTTTCCTGATCTCTTCTTCTTATTAGCCATAGATAGTTTAATTAATAAATAAAAAAATTAAAATCATTTCAAGTAAATCTGCTGCTGAAACTATTCATCAAGTGGAAGGCATATAATAGCCATAGTACACTGAAATAAATATTAACAGCTTGGTTTGAGAGAAAAAATATTCAATACATCTATTCTTCTGAGAATCTATAATCACTTTGGCCTTATTCTTACCCTTTTTTCCTGAGGTGTTTTCATAGCAGGAGTTTCACTCTAYTGAGCTAAGTTGTAGGATCCCTCAAGCTAGCAAACATCTTTTAGATACTTTTCCTATAGTTTTTTTTGTTGTTGTTGTTCCAGATTATTTAATGCCCCCTCAGGAAAGATAAATTCATTTCTGCACACATTGGGGTGGGCTTTCAGAAAGTGGTATGTTCATTTTCTGCACAAGAAATGGATCTTCTCTAGGATTTTGTACATCTTGATTTATTCTTGGCTTAGAGTTTGAAGTGGGTGCTCTTCTAAAGGGATTTATGCATAGGTTCACTATTTTTGTAGTTATGGTTTATATGATAAGCTTTTTATATTTAAAATCAATATGTAATCCTGTGGAGGAGCTTATCCCCTAAAACCCCATTTGTAAATCTATTTTAGCTTTGTTACACAGCACAGCCACAGTCTTCCATAGATTGATTAGGTACAGCAGTAGAATCCTATCAAATGGCCTGTTCTGATGATGATGCAAACTCTTTCAGGATTGCTAGTTGACTGGAACTAAAGATAAGACTTGACTGCAATCCCCCAATGTGCTCTTTACAAAACTAGTGTTAATTTTCATCAAAGTGCCAGGCTTATTTATAGTGGCGAGGTTGAAGGTTTACTACAAGAACTTTAGGTCCTTTCTATTAAAGTGTTTATAGGTATTTCTCTTGCCTTTTTTCAAGGTAATTATCAACTTCAGCAAGTAAACTGAATTGGGGAATGAATAATTGGCCCTATATATGAAAAAGAGTTTTTAAATTAACAAAACAGCTCAGTGCAGATGGACATAAACAGAATCTCTTTATTTCAACACTTTGGCTCAAATGCAGCATCAAAACTTAATCCTATTTGTTGTGAGAGGATATGGCTTTTGTAGCAAAAGTACACTGGAATCTTTAAATTAATCAGAACCCACATTGTAGTCTGTCCAAGCCAAAGTCAGTGCAGCTAGCTAGCTGTGACTGGTGTTATAGGTGAGTAATCCTTTTTTTTAAATGCATAACAGGTAACACAGAAACTTACTTGCAGATTTTTAAAACATGACATGTCTAGGTGTAGCTATTTAAAAGTGGATTCTTTAAATTTAGTCATGTGAATATCTTGTGTAAATCTTGATCAATTTTAAATGTAGTATTTTACAAAGAAATGAGCAAAATAATTTTCTTAATTTCCAAAATTAGCATTCAAATATATATAATATGTATGTGTGCATATATGTGTACATATATATGTAATTTATTTGTACTGTGAGAAAGCAAATACATAAATGTCTAATTTGGCTAATGTACAATCTGGTCACTGAAATAGCTATTTGCTGTATAATTGACTAATATTTCATAACAGATATTAATGTAGTAATAGCAGATTTAATATGCAAAATCCTATAAACTTGTGCTAGAATACTTAAAATTCTGATGTCAAATTTAACTCTTAAATGATGCAAATCATCAAAATATTGTTAATTTTAAAATGCTTTTATTCCAATGGGAAATGTCATTAGTGAGCTTGGAAAAGGTAAGATTAAAGATTTTTTTAAATACTTCATGGATTAAAAAAAGTTTCCGTTTTAATCCATATGTTAAAAATCCTAATTTTTCAAATGTTAAAGAAGTGCTGGTGTTTTAAGTTATTAATTAAAGCTGTGAAAGTGTCTGGTCAAGTTCATAGGAGTAATTTAAAAGAGTATGTGCCTGTTGTTAAATTTTATTTTTTCTTAAATTTCTAAAATTTTCAATTTGATAATATTTTTTGCGTATGGTGGAGAAAGTTTATTTCCTAGTTGTAAAGATGATATCAAAATGTTTTAGTAGAATTATAAATCTAAACTTATAATCAGGATGATTTCTTGAGGTTAAAAATTAAATAATATTCATCAATGCTAAATTTAATAATTATAAAATTTTGTTAAAATTTTGTTATAAATTTAATAGTTTTTTTCTGAATTAATATTTCTAGAACTGCAATCATCTGGATTTAGAATGAATGACCTTAAAGATCTTTCTAGCCTGGAGAGTCTATTAATTTACTTGCTGGTTAGAATAAGATTATTTTAAAAACCAGATAGAAAATTGTACAGCATTTCTGTCTTTAGTTGCATTTTAAGAGAGTAAATTTGAGATAAATATGGCTTCTCTTAGTTTTGCTTATTAGAATTCTTTCACTCAGAAAAAAGGATTCCAAAATAATGGTTTCTTTATTCTCTCCATGCTATAGGATATTTCACTTTTTAAATAAGAATATAATAATGATTCGTTATTTAATGTATTTATTTTGTGATGTTTTGTATCGAATGTAGATAATTAATATATGGCATGTTTCATTTTTATATATTTATGTGTTTGAGCTTATAATGAAAGGAATAGTGATCAAATTGAATAAACTATTCTAGCTTTTTGCGGCTATTCTAACCTTTATTGCATGATGATGCATCTAATTTTTAATTTGTAAATACAAGATAGAATTCCCTCTAGCACCATTTGCTTTCATAAAGCTGCTGAGCAGTTTGCTGTCTTGAATAAATTTTGCTTTGGAGGGGGTCGGGGGGGATTTGAACCAGCACATTCTTGTGTGGTTTGTGAAGATTCACATGGTAACCAGCGGTGTGCATTGTTAGGTTTATCTGAATAAGCACCAGCCATGTGAGTTTTAACATGATTGCCCAGGGCAATGGAGAGAGAAGAGAGAAACCCGAAAGGATTGCACTTCTCTGTTTTTTGGAAAGTGCATTTGTTGGGGGAGGAGGGGGCTGCAAAGTCAGTGGCCACGATTTTTTTTTTTTTTTTTTTTTTTTAAGCTGGTGTCCTGTTTCCCTCTAGGTCCTCATTTGTTCTGCTATCTGCCTCATCATCTACTTCTTCTTTTCATTGTTTACCTTCCTAATGAGGGAGGCGGGGTAGACTGGGAATTGATTGACAGTTACAAGCCCTCACAGTCTGGCCACAGAGCAGTTGGCTTTGGTTTCAAAAGTGTTTTAAATGTTCGATTCGGTCCTGTTTTTATTAAATGAAACTGCTGCTCATCTTAAGGAAATTAATTATCAGACTAGCAAAGATTAGGGAATATATTATTGGGGCCTAAAACCTTCATGCAAACGGTCTCCACCCTTGGAAAGATCACTGCCCATCGGATTTTCCAACCTTTAACATGAGGTTTCAAAAAGAAATATGTTATTTTTTTCCTTTGCAAAAGTGCTTTGATTTGAAACTACCAAGCAAACGTCTCCAAAAGAAAACTGGCTGTGATGCGATCGAGAGCTGCAGTGTAATATTGCAGAGCAAATTTATTTTTTACTTCAAAGAAAAATGCTAATTAGCCGATTCACTACTTTTAAAGTTATTGTGAAGCATATGGCGCCCAGTGTGAGATACATCCAACTGCTAAAATAGAGCGAGGAGGAAATTAGCGAAGAATGGGCTGTTTGAGGTGAGAGTGGGGGTGGAGAAGGAGGGTAGGTTCTCAAGCAGATTCTCTAGCCTTTCAGAATGATTTTATCGCCCATCTCTGTTTCCCGCCTCCTCGTTTACTAGCTCCCACCACCACCCTGGGCCAACCTCTCTGGCCTTCAGCTCCCCTCCCCCACTTTGCCTGGATACAGGTGCGCACCTCCCGCTGGCCACCGGCTTACACCTGGTCTCTAGCAGGTTCCAACCCTGCCGCACCCATCTCTATGTGCGGGAAATATTTAGAAAGTAGAGTTTTAGGGGTGGCACCCTCACCACAACAGCCAGACTCCATAGAAAACACTAGCTAGTGGATCCATTAACATAGTTTGCTTAGAGATATAAGGAAAGTGGAAAAAAGCGGGAAGGGGGAGGGAGGGAGCCGGGGGTGCGGAGGCCTTGCCGTGGTAACTAGCCTCCTGTTCCCTACAGACTGGCAGAAGACCGAGGCCCAGAAGCGACGTGAGCAGCTCCTGTTGGATGAGCTGGTGGCCCTGGTGAACAAGCGTGACGCGCTTGTCAGGGATCTGGACGCGCAGGAGAAGCAGTGAGTGGATCTTGGGGTTGGGGTCCAGGTGCGGCCGCCTGCCCAGGGGCCGAGAAGTTTGCGGAAAGTTCAAACCAGAGGCCTAGGGAAGGGCGGGGCAGCTTCCTGCTAGCCCCGTGCTACCCATTCCTTTACCGCTGGGGATCCAAATACCGGCAAGTGGGGAGTGCTGCTCTGCCCTCCACGAAGAAAAAATAATTTTGTTTCCTGTTTGTCTGACGTCCAGGGCCGAAGAAGAAGACGAGCATTTGGAGCGAACTCTGGAGCAAAACAAAGGCAAGATGGCCAAGAAAGAGGAGAAATGTGTTCTTCAGTAGCCGTCAGACTAGAATCTCCCAACATTTTACTCTTGGGTCCCCAGGCCAGAAACAGTCGAACTCGTTGATTTAAAACTTTTAACGTTTTGTTTGACTGAATTATACTTCTGTACCACCACCACCACCCATTTTCCGCCATCCTATCCAGATGATATACAGAACTCTAAAACAGCCCTGTTTTAGAGTTTTAGGATTGTGTGTGTGTGTGTGTGTGTGTGTGAGAGAGAGAGAGAAAGTGTGAGTGTGAGTGAGCTAGTCATGTTTATGAAATCATGTGAAATAGATTTGCAGACACCTTGTGAGTGATTGGTATTGGAGATGTTCAAGAAACAGTTCAAAAAAAAAAAAAGAAAGAAAAATGCTTCCCTCATTGTTTTCCCTTATTCTTTTGATGGGAAGAAAAATTTGAAACCTTGTTGTTGTTGTTGTTATTGTTGTTATTGTTGGTGGTAATAGCATAATGACAGTGGGAGGGGGGCAACTGGGGGATAAGAAAAATGTCATGAATGATTTTTTCCAGTCCTACCATATGTACCACTTACTCTGTTACCTAAATTTCATAGTTAGATCATATTCAATATACTTATAAACTGTTCTATTACCAGTGGGATTTTCTGCAGTCGTTTTGCATTTCACTGTAAGTATAATAGAGTTCTCTGCCTTCCTCTGAGGATGACCCTCTATGGGAGCCTGAGACAAGTCCTGTGGTTTGAAGGTGAGCTGTAGGATGGGACTCATTGATATGCAGCAGTTTACAAAGATAATTTTATCTTCTGAGAATGCGCCACGTTTTTCTCTGGAAAATTATTTATTACATCTTGCTTGGTTTCTACGTTTAATTGGGTCCGGACATTGGGTCAAGAATGCTGTTAATATTTATTCTGTATTGATAAAAGTCTGTCTTGCCAGTACAAGTAAATCCCCCATTAATATTTTCTTCTCTAGCATAATAGTACTGTCATTTTTGTGAAAATGGTTATGTTTATTTATTACAATACTGAGTCGTATATAAATTTTCAATAAAAGCAGAAACTTTCTTACCTTAAATGCTGCTGCTGTTTTTCTTGCAATGAAAACTTGGGTGGAAGTTTAAGACTTTTCATGAGGAAAATGGCCCTCTGGAACGAAAGGCAGGATACTGCACTGTATTTGAAGTTGAGTAAGTTTACACCATCTCCGAGGAGCCCTGCTGACACACGAATGCAAATTGAAAACTAATTAGTCATATTCTTAACGAGTGTAAACTATTATCTCTTTAGGGAAGGGGTCATCTCTGTTGAAGATTTGAGGAAATTTGTGATTCTACACCACTGAAGAAATGCTAATATTATGATGAATTTTCTGCATTGTTTAATTGTTACAGTTTTTCAGTCATATAAAAGAGAACTCTGAACTCTTCTTCGGATAACCAGCAAGTCTGTGGGTACTGAAGTGAAAGGAAGAAGGTTATTGTTGGAAAAGGTGGATTGGGGGAGGAATGTGTGCGGGTTTGTATGTATGAGATGAGAAAAAGAGAACTTCTAACAAGAATTTCTACGCCACAGAAAAAAAGTGGCTATTCTATGGTAGTTTCCATCACTCGTCTACCGGTGTCCAAACAAAGAAAGCTCGTTCAACAAGTCCTGAAACTTAAGAGAAAACACTGGCAATTACACTTTAGCCTAGACATATCTCTCTCCCCCCCTCTCCCTCTCACTTCCTCTCTTTCCTTCCTTTTCTCTCCTTTTCATTCCCCCCCCCAAACACACACACACACACACACACACACACACACACACACACACACAAAATTTCCTTCTAAAAGTATGCTGCTCCTTCTAATTGCCGGTCTTTCAAGGTGATAAAAAGTTGCCAAGGTATAATTCCTTCATGACAAGAATTTTTTTTAAGTTATAAAAAAGTTAATGGAACTAAATGAAATCGAGTATTTGCCCTCTTTATTCGAGCAAAATAGCGAACTGCTGCTCTCTGAGGAAAACCCAGAACCCGCTCTAACCCCCTGGGCACTCGCAGACGGAAACCGGCCGCCCCAAGCAGCCTGGGGCTTGGCGGGGACGGCACCCATCCTATTTACGCTGGATTCGTGGAAACTTCCCCTCTGAGGGGCCTCGCAGAAAGGCGACTTTTCCCCGCCCCCAAGCCGTGCCGGACCAGCCAAGTGACAAACCTTCCCTAGCCCCACATTTGCTAGAGTGGTTGGGGGCAGCTGTGCGACCCTCTTGCCCCTCCTGCTTCAGTCCCCAGGCTCCCGGGGTTTCTATTTGGGCTGCTCCGCGGCGCCCGAACGCCCCTCAGCGGCGGTGGAGCGCGGACCCCGGGGACTAGCGAGGTCAGACCCGCGATCAGGGTGCTGGTCCCGACTTCCCTGCAGGGCTCCCAAGGTCAGGCTCCCCAGGGCAGGCGCGAACCCAGCACGCCAAGGGACCGAAACCCGAAAGCCCGCGCTGTGGGATCAAACACTGGGTCTGGGGGTTGCGCGGGGGCAGAAACGTTGGCTGCAGGCTGGCTTGGACACAGTACCCAGGCCAATGCCGAACTTTCGCCTCTGGCCAGGAACCCTCGGCTCGGGATCAAAACTCCTCCCCCTGTCCCAACTGTCCTCCAGAGTCTGGTCTGGCCTCGAAGTCACCTGGATGCTGGACCCGGGTCTCGGGGCCCAGGTCCCTCGCCCCCGCCTGGGTCATGGATTTTAAGCTGAGTCGGCTTCCCCTCCTCCAGACCTGTCTCCACTTTCCCCTCCCCGCGCCGCCGTCGTTTGCTAGAATGGTCGCGGCTTCTGGCCCAGCGTTTCCCACCTGGAAATTTGCCTAGCGACCGCCGCCTCAATCCTCTGCGCAGCATTCAAGAAACTTTCATCTCAGTCCCGCTCCCACTCTACTCTCCTCCCTCTCCCCTCTCCTCTCTCTCTCTTTCTCTCCTCTTAATCCCGGGGTTTTGTGGGCTGAGCATTAAGAAAATTCGCCCACAATTTGGGATTAGATAAATACTCTCATTAGGGGGAAAAATCCTTGCTACTTGATACCTCCCGACTTCCCCGAGACTGGCAGCATCTGGAACCGAGAACGCCGGACTCCTGCACGGCGGGCCTTAGGGACAGCGCTGGCACATTCCTATGCGCAACGCAGCCCCACCTCGCCATGCCGGAACCAGGCCAGGTTCTGCTGCTGCCGCGAAACCACCGGGGGGGAGGCGGGAGTACGAGAGGTTTCGGGATCCGGCCAGGGCACTTGTCCCGACACCGGAGAGCCAACCTGGGCACACAAGGCACAGGCCGAAAACTCTGGCAGCGCTAGGCTACCCAAGCGGACGCCCCCCCGCCCCCCGACGAGCCCTGCAGGACGTCCGCATACTCTTCCCCACAAACTAGTGCGCCCTAGGTCGCGCCTTTCCCTAGAGTAAGGGACAGGAGGATATTTCATTTCTATTTTAAAACCTCACTAGGATCTCCGTAGCTCCAGGCCACGGACAGCTGACCGTGGGCCTCGCGAGCTACTACTGGTGGGGGCCTGCGCAAGCCTAAGGTGTGTCCCCGCCTGGGCCAGAGTTGCGCCCTGTGCTGTATCTTTTCCTTTAAAGGTTCTCTAGGTTCTCCATCTCCCCCCAAACACACACCCCATTTTCTTCCTTTCCTCTCGTTCTTTTATTCTGCTTTCTCTTTCTCTCCCTTTTGTGAATGGGCCGCGGTGTCTTTGTTCTGGAGAGAAGCGCCCGTGTCGCTGACTTTTGTGAACCAGAGAAGGATCTTGTAAAACCTCCTTTTCTCCTTCGTACTCCCCCACTCCCACCCCTCCTTCCTTGCCCCTTTGATTAGATGTTCCCTCATCGTCCAAAAAAAAAAAAAAATGTAATTTCGTTGGTCTGGCGGCCACTTTCTTTGAACATTAGCTCGCTTTCAGCTCCAACTTCAATTAGAAGGAGTTGATTTTGAGAGATCAACAAAAGAACCGACCAAAGCCTTATTAAAGGTCCTAAGAAGATCTCCCGGGTCCTTTGAGAAGCAGTTAAGGAAACAGTGTGCCCTCCATCATATTCTGTTACCGTATTTTATTCGGACTCCAAAGGAAAGTGTCGCTTGGGGGAGGGGAAAGCACTTTGATGAGCGGCGGCTGCGGCCCCTTTTCACTCAGCGGGCTCCCCCTTCCTTCTCCTCCTCCTCGCCCGGCGCCCGGTCAGCTCTCTGTGCCCGACCCCGCGGCCGGGCAGCTCGGGCGCTCCCCACCGCGGTGCGCCTGGCGGCTCTTTGACTCGCCCTCACACTTACTCCCGTTCAAACTTTTCACTCCGCCTGTTGGGATGGGGGTGGTGGAAGATTAAGAGGAAGGGGTAAGAATTCCTCGAAAGGGAGCAAAGTGGTGCCTGACATTCAATAAGAGGTGCCATTTAAAAGAATTGCCTCGTTCAGGGTTGGGCCAAAAACACTTTTTACAAAGTCCCCACAGGTAAATGTGCTGGGCAAGTTTGTTCGACTGGGAAAGGGGCTTCGCCGGTACGAACAATCCGGGGAAACCGCCTCAAGGAAGCTTCTTCCACAACATGTGGAAAAGAAATTGAGGGGTAGGGGTCTAGGGGCACATTTCCCACCAGACTGTCTGGTAGGTCTTCCACGTCTTCCACGTCTCGGAAGGGGAGGCAGTATGAAAGAGAGTTTCCTACCCAAAGCTTAGATTGAGAAGTAGGGTGTGTGTGACAGAAAGGGGACACAGGGTTCCAACGGTTCAAAAGAAGTTTTTAACACTTGCAAACACCTTTAAGGACTAGGAACTCCTGGAAATGACGAGGAGCTGGTAAGTGGCGGCGCCTCCCCTGCGGGTGCTTATCCCAAGCGCGGGAGTCCGGGGGAGCTGAGGGATCTGCGCGCCCAGAACTGCTCCCGCGCTCTGCACAGTAGCTTGCGCCGGCACGAGCTGCCCGCGGCGTCTGTCGGCAGGTGGGGGTGAAGAAAGGAGACGCTGGGGCCCATCGCGCTGCGAAAGGGGCCGGGGACCCACGCTCCTCTAGCCCGCCGCCCGGGAATCCTCGCGCCCACACTCCGGCCGAGGAGCCGGGCGGTGAGAAGAGTCCGATTATCCTGCACCCCGCCTCTCTACCACTCCCTCAGGAGCACCGAGAGGGCGAAAGAAGGGCTGGGGGCCCCTAGGCAGGCTTCGGGATCCGCGGCCCCTCGGCGGCAGGGACTCCGGCGCTCAGTTAGCCCTCCTCGCCTTCCTCTGCGCGGAATTTGCCAGCGGAGCCCCAGAGTTAGCGCGCGACCGGGGCGGGGCGGGCGCGCGGTGAGGGCGGGGTGTAGAAGGCGGGGGAGGGCGGGGGCGCGCGGAGGTAACCCCCGGCTCGCACAGCCATTGCCCGGCTTCCTGTCACTCAGCTCGCCCAGGGCCCCCGATTGGCGGCCTAGCCCGGTTACGCACTCGCTTCGCGTTCACATACCCGGGGAGGGCAGTAGAAAGGTGATCAATCTTCATCAGGCTACATTTCCAATCACCTAAACAACCGAGCAAGACAAGCCACTCCGACAAGGTAAATTGCTTCATTTATTTAGTTTGCAAAGTGACTCTGCAGGACTTCCCCAGTCCCCGCCGCCTCCACGTTGCACTGGGAGTGCAGCGGCAAAGGCCAGCCAAGCCTCCTCCCAACTCTGCCCCTCGCATCCCCCTCCCCCTTGGAGGGCCCTCGGCTGGGTCCCGGACTAGGCAAGGTCCTGGGAGTGTGTGGAGCTTTGCAAACAAAGTGTGCAATAAAGTGAAACCTAGAGGGATACTCACAAAGCTACTGGGAAAAAATGGGAGGAAGGAAGTTGGGGAAAGAAAGAAGCCCGGGGGGTCCTCTATCAGCCCCCGGGGTAATTCCGGTGCCGCTCTATTTTGCAGGTTGGCTGCCCGKCGAGTCTCTGAGGGAGCCAGGTAGATGGTGAGCGGCCCCGACAGCTGAGGGCAGGTAAGAAGAAAACCTCGGGGCCGCCCGGAACTCCGGGAGCGCGTTGGTTACTCGTGTAACCCCCTCCTCAGAACGACCGCGGCTTCCCGGGTCCCCGGCAGGTGGGCGGGGCTGGGGGAGCGGCCTGGCTCCCCTCCTGGAGTGTGGAGGACCCCAGACCGCGGCTGCGGCCCGGCGCCCCCTCCCCCGCCTCCTCCGAAGTAACTGGGCTTTGGTGCTAAGTTTGGAGAAAGTCTTTGAAAACTCACGCTGCACCCTAGCAGAGAATCGCCGAGGCTGGAGTCCCATTTTCCTTTGGCCCAAGAGCCCTCGCTGTTTCCTTTTTTTTTGTCCTGAAAACTGGCTGTCCCTGACCGCGGCCGTGGGTCCCCCAGGGCGGAGGCGGGGGTTGGAATGGGAGTCTTCTTGAGCTCAGACTTTTCTCTCTCGGAATTCTCTAACCTGGGTTCCCTGGCCTGCTTTGCAGAATTCCCGCGAAGCGGGGTATAGTGAGAAGGCCCTCTGAGGTCCCAGTCCCACTCCCCAGCGCCCCTTCCTGACCCTTGAGAGTAGCGCCACGGATTCAGAGCAGCTGCGGAAGCCATGCTTCGACCTTCCAGCTCCAGTCTGCGTGGGCTTTGACGATGAGGCCTAGTTTTCTATTCTCGATCGTGTCCTGGGGCCCGCGGGTTCAGTTAGTAGAATGGCAGAGAGCACAGGCGACCTGCTCTACTCAGTCTTCCTGAACCCCCGAGGGCCTTTGGGGCGCTGGTCTGGTCGCCCTTCATCCTCTGATGGGATCCGGTGGATGGGATCCGGTTGTGCGCAGCCAGACTGGGGGAAATGAAGGCCCGGCCTGCGCGGGCCAAGAAGGGAGGGTTGAGGCAACCCAGACCTCCGGTGGCGTCTTGGAACTGCCGCTTATACAGCGGTCCCTTCGTCGTCTTCTGGCCGACTTGCTGGGTCAGGGCCGGTGACTGAGATTGAAGTGCGGTGGAATTTCGGGGGGAGCTTCCGCTCAGTGACTGAGCACCGACAGGTCGGCTGAAATGGTGATGGCGGGCTCTGGGGCAGGGGCGCAACGGTGGAGACCTTTGAAGGAATGATGTCTCCCAAGTGGGCTAGGTATCGGGCGAGCCCGAGGTGCAGTTAGCCTTCCGCGTTAACTCAGTCTGACCCTCACAATTGTCCACCTTTTTGCCTTGCTTTCAAAAACATTTGAAACAAAACGAAACAACCCCTCACGCTCTGGGCGGTCTGCCGTCAGGGCGCCTAGGGAACTTTTGCTTGTGCAACATGGAGCCGACTTCCCCCGACTCAAAATTTTGCCTGCACTTGGGATTTTCCAAACTTCATGGTTCTGGCTCTGACCTCCCCAACCTGATTGCACTTTTAACCTCTCTTTACTCTGGTCGACACCCTACGAGTGTCTTAAGCCCGTGCCAAGCCCGAAAAGAGGCAGTGACGATCCAGAAGAAAAGTTTACTTTTCACAAGGAAGCTGTGGTCCACATGCTGAGGCCCTGTGGAGCCTAATTGACTGCCCTTGCGCAGTTGCGCTGCCTCTCTCCCCATCCCGAGGCTCCTCGCCTTGGACAAAATCTGGAAGCAGAAGTGGCTCAGAGTGACGGTTTTCATGTCTCCTGTTTCCATAGGCCAGGCCCCCAGACGCAACAGCTTGAAGGACTTCGCGGTGGGAACCCTGCATCCCTCCTGGCCCCAGGCCCCCTGGATCCGTCGGGGCGCCTCTACCCGGCTGTTAGCATGATGTCTTACCTCAAACAACCCCCATATGGCATGAATGGGCTGGGCCTGGCCGGGCCGGCCATGGACCTTCTGCACCCCTCTGTGGGCTATCCGGGTGAGCACTGGCCCTTCTGCCCCAGCTCCCAATCCCTACAAATGTTGGGGAGCCTCAAACCCTAAAGTTTGAGCCCACGTTATTGTAAAACAGGCCCAGGAATCAGGTTATCTAATTTCCGTATTACATGTGTGGCCCGCTGCAGGCACATGGGCAGAGTCGCTGGTGGGTGAAGTGGACAGAGCTTTAAAACGTGCCTTACCAGCTTGGTCACACTGGCAACCTGCCGTCTCCTGCTGTCATCCCATGTCCTGCGTAGAGGACATTTACCCAGTGATTCCTTTTCCACGTGTGGCTGTTTGTGTGTGTGTGTGTGTGTGTGTGTGTGACTCTGCCCCCTGCTCCCAACATTGAATGAGGAATGTGGACACTCTGGGCCCT